GGGGTGGGGGGGGGGGGGATCTGAATAGTCATCTTGTGACCATTTTAACAAAAGCAACTGTGGCAGTAAATGGTCAGGTGCTTAAGTTACCAATAATTAGAAATCCTATAGACGACTAACCCACCCGGAATACACCGGGACATAACAGCCCTAAGCAAAGGGACACAGGTTCGTTGCCAAAGGCAGGGTGAGCAGAATAATAATAAACAAGTCACTTTATTAACATACAGTTAATAAAAACCACATACAACACTTCACACCAGGTCTCAATACATCACACGGCTTTACCAATAACTTATAAAACAAGTACAATACAAGAGAAAATTAAGAGGGAGGTGGCCAGCAAAGACCCTCAGATTTCTACCCCACACTCAATACCCATGACACACAGCTCTCTCACACACACACAGCTCACAAAAAAAAAATCTCAGTAATATTAAACACAGCACTCCATGTGGACACGCAGTACAAGGTACCATGGCCAACCCCTTCCACCTAAATCCACACCAAACAATACAAAACATAATTAACAGACGGACCCAGATGAAGTCCAGACAGAGCGGAGCAGAACTGCAGTCAGTTACTTGAGGTTCGTTATGCGTCAATTAAGATCATTAGAAACCCCTGGACGTGCAATCAATCCTGCTGGACATTAAACAAAAGTTACACATAAAAACTTGTTTAAAACAAACTTTAAACTAGCCATACCTACCAAGAAAACAGTACAATGCTGCAATACACATGGTCGCTCACCACGCAGGATTACAGCTACTGGCAGGCCCAGATCTGAAAACAAACAAGGTAATAAGCCTCTATTTAACAGGCAAAAAGGCATTTTTAAAATGGGGACAAACCTGAAAACTGTCCAGCAGCCCGCACACGACAGACAGGAGGATAACCCAACTGCTGGCACTCAAAGCACCACATGTCACAGAGGGCCGGTACCCAAGGATGCTGCATCCCAAGCAACCAAACACTCCCCTATATATATATATATATATATATATATAGGTCAGTGGCCCTTGGCTTGGTATTGTTGTCAGAATTCGGCCCTCTGTGAAACTAATTGAGGAAAGCTGACATACAGGATGCTGCGCATGCGCGACTGAACGAATCACTCCACGAGACGACTCGTTCTTCCCGAGTCACACTAAAGATTTGTTCAAGAACGACCCAACACTACGGATTTTCATGCTCACAATTGGTTATTAGTAAAAAAAAATGGATTCTAATGGGGAAATAATAGAACAATTTATGGAGGAGAGATCTTTAGTTTGCTTAAACTCTGGAGAAGGTACTAGATATAATGTAATAGATAATACGGTATCATGTTTAGATCTTACATTAATATCAAATGAAATGGCTGAGATTTGTGGATGGAAAGTAATCAGCGACAACACAATTGGAAGTGATCACTTTCCAATCATTTGTAAATTAAATATTATAAATCATAATACGGGACATTATCTTCAAAAGAAATGGATGTATGAGAAGGCAGACTGGATAGCATTTGGAAAATACTGTGAAGAAAATAAAGATAAGGTGAAGGAGGATACAGTTGAAATATTTAGCAAATCGCTTACAGATTAAATGTTAGAATCAGCAACCCTATATATACCTCAAAGCACTGCGGGTGAGAAAATGAGGAAGAGTCCATGGTGGACAGAAGAATGCAGCAAAGCAGTAAAAGAAAGAAATAAGACATTTAAGCAACTTAGGAAACATAGAGCAAGAGCCAATAGAGAAGAATGATTAAAGCTGCTAAGAGGGACGGCTGGAGGAAATGTTGCTCTTCTAGCGGAAGGACAGCACTAGATCAAGCACGGAGAACGCTCCAGAGCACGGCTGGAAGCACAGTCCAGGGCTGACTCAGAAGGATAGCATTGCTGTATCACACTTAGAAACAGCAAAGATGCTTGGAAAGGTTTTAGGAAGATTACATCGTTTAGAATTGGGTGAAGAATACGAAGAAAGAAGAAAGGTTTTTTTTTGGAATCCAATCCAAGTATTACGCAAGAGAGAAGAAACAGAAACAGAAGCATGGATATGGATTTTACCGTTTCAGAACTACTGCCCGGGATGTGACCGGCTGAGTTACACAATCTTTCAGATAATCTTATTTTAAACAAGCCATTATAACTCCAATCTTAAAGCCAGCGAGAGATCCAACAAATCCTGAAGGTTATCGACCAATAGCATTGACATCAAATTTATGCAAATTAATGGAGAAAGTAATAGTTCAAAGGGTAAATTATGATTTAGAGAAAAGGAGTAAATATAGCAAATATCAGTATGGCTTTAGAAGTAAAAGATCAACGATAGATGCGTTAAGTAAAGTCCGTAATGATATAGAAAAGGCATATACAGTATGGCGAGAAGGATTGCTATATAAAGCTTCAAAAATGGGTATAGAAGGTAAATTATATAACTGGTTAAAACAACTTTTATTCAATCGAACATTTGTAGTTCAAGTGGGCTGATTGCATAACAGCACAGTAGGTGGCGATATGCGCAAAGATTGCAACTCGCCATAAAACCAAGAAGAAGAAGAAGAAGAAGAAGCCCCAACACTACTGCGCACTGCAGTCGAACACACCTAAACACCAGCACCAGCACACACACACACTCCAGGCTCCAGAACACACGACGCTCGGCAGGCGTCGCGGGAGAGTTTGATCCGGGTCAGCGGGTCATGGACGCGCCCGATGCGGGTGAGTTTCGGCAGAAGTTTATGAGTATCATAATATGTGTTGCGCGTAGCTTACTGCGAGGTGTTTGCGTGTCAGTAATCACACACAGGAGTTTTATCATGGTTAATGAGACGAAACTCCGCTCGGTGGCTGAGATGGTGAAATCTGAGACCCGCCACACCGAGGAATGTGTGCGGAGTTTATCGTGATGCTCGACTGAAGGCTAGCTGTTGTGAGTCTCGAGCCGAAGGTATGCGGCGCTGCGAGTCTCGACGCGTCTGATCTCTGCTGCTACAGTGTTGCTGCTACAGTGTTGCTGATACAGTGTTAGTGTTACAGCTACAGTGTTGCTGCTACAGTGTTGCTGATACAGTGTTAGTGTTGCTGCTACAGTGTTAGTGTTGCTGCTACAGTGTCACTGCTACAGTGTTGCTGATACCGTGTTAGTGTTGCTGCTACAGTGTCACAGCTACAGTGTTGCTGATACAGTGTTAGTGTTGCTGTTACAGTGTTGTTGCTACAGTGTCACAGCTACAGTGTTGCTGATACAGTGTTGCTGCTACAGTGATACAGCTACAGGTGTTGCTGATACAGTGTTAGTGTTGCTGCTACAGTGTTGCTGCTACAGTGTCGCTGATACAGTGTTGCTGATACAGTGTTAGTGTTGCTGTTACAGTGTTGTTGCTACAGTGTTACAGCTACAGTGTTGCTGATACAGTGTTAGTGTTGCTGCTACAGTGTCACAGCTACAGTGTTGCAGCTACAGTTACAGTGTCGCTGCTACAGTGTTGCTGCTACAGTGTTGCTGCTACAGTGTTAGTGTTGCTGCTACAGTGTTACAACATCTGTGCGCCACTGCGGTGCCTCAGATCCTCAGCCGCTCATCTTACATTTACAACAGGATTGTGTTTCAGGCTTTTGTTTATACTCACACATGCACACAATAGTTCTTTATATGCGATCATTCTTTATATTCGCAATTCAAACAGGCATGTTTAACTTCATTTGCTTGTATAAATAAGTCATAAGTGAAATATTATGTCAGAAGTTGTGTGCAAACACTTTAGTTTAGGGACCAGTTCTCAGTATTAACTAGTTGCTAATTAGCTTGCATATCACTAGCATATTGGCTGTTTATTAGTACTTATAAAGCACATATTAATGCCTTGTTCTGCATGCTAACTATTCATAAGCAGCAAACATGAGTTTATTGAGGTAAAAGTCACTTATTAATTAGTTAATAGTGAGAACTGGTCCCCAAGCTAAAGTGTGACCCAGAAAACTTGTGTTTTAGACTATAAGCTATTATTTGTCAATCATGAATATAATTACTGTAAAAGACTGTTAATTATTTCAGTTCTCATGCTTATGTTAGATCTGTTTCTTTCCCCAAACACATGAATATAGCAGGCTTTTCCCAGATTTCTACTGTAACCAGAATCAGTCTCGTCGTGTCTACAGCAGAACTCTGCCATAGAGAACTGATATATGGGGGAATTATAGAGAGAATAATAATCAGCCTAAAATGTAGGGGTGTTTTAAAAAAACTACACTTTCTCACGCATACTACACTCAGTAGGTTCCCCCTTAAACAATCCATCCCATTAAAAACCAAAGACTTTAGATATTCAAAGATGTTGCACTCCTATCTTCCCCAGCTGCACTTGTGCCGAGTGACATGACTTTCTTATAAAGTCACCTTAAAAGTGGGATATTGATCTTGATAAATACATTAGGACTTTAGTTTTGAGTCTAAGGAGCAAGAATGTGCACATTTCTGAAAGTCCATGCACTGTGAATTGTGCTCTAAAGACCACCCTGAGCTGCGATATTGAGCTTGGCACAAATACATATGTTTTAAAATATGAGGCATTATTGAGGTCAGATGACAATAATAACCTCACACACTTCTGTGCGTCAGTGTTCTTCCCGGACCGGCGGGCTCCTGCCAGTCACCTCCTGCTGGAGCAGCTGCCCAGCTATCAGTCTCTGCTGTACCGGAGGAAGTCCAGCTCCAGCGGCAGCGCCAGGAGGCGGGGCAGTGGGCGGGGCAGGCAGCCGTCAATCAACAGCGGGAAATGGGTGGAGCAGAAACCTGTCCATGGCGGGGAGGAACTCAAACCCGTGAGGGAGCTTCCCAAGAGCATGCAGGAGAAACGCTGGGAGAAGTGAGTGTGTGTGGATGCTGGAACTAGAGTATTATATCACCATTGTGGCATATAGAGCTGTACTATATAGTTATTTATATATTGACTCATTTACCTCTGTAAGACCGTTCAGCAGATCTCTGCTGGCTGACATCTCTCCCATCTGACAGTATGTGATTTGCTATCATTCATACTGGAATACGTGTGTGTGTGTGTGTGTGTGTGTGTGTGTGCGTGTGTGTGCAGGCAGCAGCGTCTCCAGCAGGGCGACACTCTCACCGGCTGGGGTTTGTGGAGGCTCAATGTCCATCGCTCTCTGAAGCGTCTCAAGGAGGACGGGATGGATGTGCTCTCGTCTCTGCAGCTCTGGAGGGCAGAGATTCATCTCATCGAGGGTCAGCGTCTCTCTCTGTGCCGTTACTGTCTTTCTGCTGTATATGTGATTGCTGGGAGGCCAGGGTTTGGTTCACACACACACACACCCACGCCCCTCTCTGTTGCACACACACTCACACCTCTCTCTCTGTTACACACACACACACACACACACACACACCTCTATCTCTGTTACACATACACGCGCACACACACCTCTCTCTCTGTTACACACACACACACACACTCACACACACCTCTCTCTCTGTTACACACACACACCCCTCTCTCTCTGTTACACACACACACCCCTCTCTCTCTGTTCCAGACACCCACAGCTCTGCGTCTCTCTCTCACACACACACACCTCTCTGTTACACACACTCATGTCTGCGGGGTGTGTTTTGTGCAGTGAGCGTGTGCAGTGAGTATCTGGGCTCCTCTAACACACACACCTCTCTCTCTGTTACACACACACCCCTCTCTCTCTGTTACACACACACACACACACACACACACACACACACACCTCTGTTACACACACACACACACACCTCTGTTACACACACACACACACACCTCTGTTACACACACACACACACACCTCTGTTACACACACACACACACACCTCTGTTACACACACACACACACACCTCTCACACACACACACACACACACCTCTGTTACACACACACACACACAGCTCTGCGTCTCTCTCACACACACACACCTCTCTGTTACACACACTCATGTCTGCGGGGTGTGTTTTGTGCAGTGAGCGTGTGCAGTGAGTATCTGGGCTCCTCTCGCCAGGGTCTCGTCGTGTTTCATGAGCACATCACAGACCTGCTGTCTGGAACGGTGAGACGCGTCTGGCAGCCCACATGACTCAATACAACATCTGCTGACACGACTGTAAAACTGTGTGTGTGTGTGTGTGTGTGTGTGTAGGGCTTCCTGGAGCACACATACCTCTTCTACGGTTACTATAAGCTGGAGTTCATTCATTCCCGCTTCACCTACAACCTGCCGCTGGCGTATCTGCTGGCTACGGTCTCGTACCTGCTGCTGAGCCTCGTCTGGATCGTCAAGAGGTCAGTTAGACGATTGAGAGCGCGCACCACACTGGTTTGTTTCTCCCAGTAGTGTGTGTGATTGTGGAGATCGGTTGAGATCAGTTCTGGTGATATTTGGGTGTTTGTTTAGGTCTGCGGCCGGTTTCAAGCGCAAGCTCATTCAAGACGAGGACCGCTTCCAGAGCTTCTGCAACAAGGTGTTCGCCGGCTGGGACTTCTGCATCACCAACGAGAACGCGACGCGTCTCAAGCGGAGCAGCTTACTGTATGAGCTCAAGGTGCGTTTGCTTTCGGTCCGCAGGAACGAGACACCAGTGACTGTAATCATTCATTTCTTCATGTTGTGATAGATGGATCTAGAGGAGGAGCGAATCAAGCACAAGATGGCGAATCGCACGCGCGGCGAGAGGTGTCGCATCTATGCTCTCAGAGCTGCTCTCAATCTCTTCGTCATGGCCGTCCTGGTGGCATGCTTCTACTGCATCTATGTGGCCACGGTCTTCTCACAGCAGAAGCAGGCGGAGGTGAGTGTGCACTTCTTTAGTTCCTTGTTTTATTTCTGATCTTCTGTCCAGTTATGTTTATGTGTGTGTTCAGGATCAGAAGAGTAACTTCCTGCTGGAGCTGGTCGTGGAGTATCTGCCCTCCATCGTCATCACACTGGCCAACTTCATCACGCCGCTGATCTTCAACCTCATCATTGCCTTCGAGGACTACTCGCCTGCGTTTGAGATCCGCTTCACGCTCATGAGGCAAACAGACACTGAGTCACCAGACGAGCATCCCACTGTCCTCTAGTGCAGCGCTTCTCAATTCCAGTCCTGGCGCCCCCCGCTCTGCACAGTTTGCATGTCTCTCTTAGCTCGTTAGAAGAGAGCTCCATGCCTGAACTGTGTTCCGATTGGCATGATCCCTACAGTGTTCACTGCTCCCTACTCCCTGAGCACAGGAAATCCATTCAAGTTTACTTCACTTCGGAACGTCCATTCGATCATTCACAGCCTGCAGCATCTTCACACACAGAAGAAACTCACTAGAGAAGTGTGAAGTGTGACAGAATAGACCCCTGTAAATAAATACAGTTTAAATTCATGTCTTGCACACTTTGAATGGAACATATACGCTCCCTTCAAACTGGAATCATAGCGAAATATCCTGTGAAGTCCATTTGGACGTCTGAAGTGATGAGAGACATTTTAAATGTTCAGAGCAGGGGGTCGTGAGGACGGAAACTGAGAGCCGCTGCTGGAGCTGCAAACAATACATCACTGAAAAAGGCGATTTTATTCCAAAATGTCCTCCATTTGTCCACACTAGCATTTAACAAAAGTTGTTCATAAAACGTTATAAAAAGTGCACTGTAGTGAAGTGTCCGTCAGATGTGCACTTCAGAATCTCGCCGGAAATAGTAGGCCATCCGGCTGTATTTCGCCTACTGTTTTATGATACTATGAATTCAGACATATAACTCTGTTCACATTCTGTTTCTGCCAACTGTTTATAGTAGGGAAGTATGTGATTTCAGATGCAGCCTTAGTCTTAAGTGTGTCACAAATTAAAAAATTATGTGAAAAGCATATGCTTATAACCCTGAACTGGGTGTGCGTTCTGCAGGACTGAGGGAAACACGTGTGTGATTTTCATTGTGTGTGTGTTCAGGTGTGTGTTCATGCGATTGGCCAGTATCGGTGTGATGCTCTTCTCTCTGTGGGACCAGATCACGTCCTGTGGAAGTTCAGACTGTCCCTGCGGCTACAACCATGAGCTCTACCCCGTACGACACACTCACACTCACAGACACACACACACTCACACACGCTCTCACACAGACACACACACACTCACAGACAAACACACACGCTCTCACACAGACACACACACACTCACACAGACACACACACATAGACACACACACACACACACACACACACGCTCTCACACACGCTCTCATACAAGCACACACACGCTCTCTCACACACACAGACACACTCACACAGACACACACACACACACTCACACACGCTCTCACACACACTCACACAGACACACACACATAGACGCTCTCACACAGACACACACACGCTCTCACACAGACACACGCACACACACACACACACACTCACACAGACACACACACGCTCTCTCACACACACACACACTCTCACACACACATTTATTTGATTCCCGTGTCTGACCGTCTGTGTTCTGCAGTGCTGGGAGACTCACGTCGGGCAGGAAATGTACAAGCTTGTGATCTTTGACTTCCTGATCATTGCTGCCGTCACCATCTTCGTGGAGTTTCCAAGGAAGTATGAAAATCTTTCTATTGCACATCTTCTGCAGAAGCAGCTTGAGCTGAAGTGCTGAGAGTTCGGTTGTTGTTTCAGGATCATCGTGAATAATTGCGACTGCGGTTTGGCCAAGTGGTGGGGTCAGCAGGAATTCGCCATCCCACAGAATGTGCTGGAGATCGTTTACGGCCAAACCATCTGCTGGATAGGAACCTTTTACTGCCCTCTGCTTCCTGCCATTAACACTGTCAAATACGTCCTCGTCTTCTACCTGAAAAAGGTCACGGCTCGAGCTTGAGGGGAAAATAACGTCCCAGTGTCAGAAATATTAAGGGTTCTAAAAATAAGCTTTGGTTTCTCTATGCTAAATATCATTTTAGAAATGTCATGTCATATTTTATTCTTGTGTTATTCCAGCTTTTCTAGCCTTTTTTCGGTCTTCTGATTAAAACTCCATTTAAGTGGCACGTCTTCTTTCAGACTTCAGTGTAAATAGCTAGGACCCTGTTAAAATGTTTATGGCAGCGTATGTGATGTGAGCAGGCCTGACCGTGTGGCAGTAAGTGACTGCAAGGAAACGTCCTCTGATTAACGAGCCGCTCGTTGCCTTCGCAGGTGTCTCTGGTGACCAACTGTCGTCCCTCCACTCGTCCGTTCCGAGCTTCCAGCTCCAACTTCTTCTTCCTGGTGGTGTTGCTGATCGGCTTGGCTCTGGCGTCCGTCCCTGTCATCGTCAGTATTGCAGAGTGAGTCCGTGGATCACAAACACATGGGCGGTGTTACGTGTGGCCGCTCGTTTCATTGAGGTGTGTTTCAGGATCCGCTCGTCGCGAGCGTGCGGCCCGTTCGTCAGCTACAGCACGTCATGGAAGGTGGTGCCGCAAGTGATCGCCCAGCTGCCCATCGGCCTGAACTCATTCCTGCTGGCGCTCGCCTCCGAGGCCTTCGCCGTCTCCTTCTTCGTCATCACCTGGTGAGGAAAATCAGCAGCAGTGGAGTAGAGATACATCCAATTTACTTCCACACACCACTGCACTTCTGATTGAACATATCCTTTAAGTGGGCAAATTTAATCATTTTTATTTTTGTTAAAAACTCAAATTCAACGTTCAGAAACTAACTGCCTTGTGTTATTGTGAGAATGACCCCACAGCACCACTTGTCATCCATCGGCACTAAAACCGGTTTGACCACAGATACTGTACCAGTGTGACATCAGCGTGGCAGGTCTGCTGTGTATGAAACTACAGTAAATCTGTAATCCTGTGTGTGTGTGTGTGTGTGTTGCAGTCTGGGGATGTTCTATGTCATCGCCTTGGCTGGAGCTCATAAGCGTGTGATTGAACAGCTCCGAGATCAGCTGGCTATGGTGAGTCTCCACATCATGATGATGATGATGATGATGATGGCATCTGTTTTATCTGATTATTTTCTTGTTATTTCAGTGCAACAAATGCTCTAGTGTCATGAACAGTCCAAATCTTCATGAATGTTTTATCTTACAGCCTTTGAATTAAATGCACCAGAAATAATTTCTAATATCTCAAACTCAGCCTGCTATGACTTTAGTAGTCACTAGAAATAAGGAGGGATGCAGGAGTGTTTAATATGTGTGAACTGCAGATTGGATGGATGAATACAAACTTACATTTCCATTTACATTTAGTCATTTTGTAGACGCTTTTATCCAAAGCGACTTACAATTGGGGAACACATAAAGCGATTCTTCTTAAAGAGGCAGACACAGGAAGTGCTCGTCATACCCAGTTTTAGGCATTGTTCAAATAAGTACACGCTAGAAAGGGAAGGAATAAATAAAGAGAGAGAGTTTTTTTTACATTTTAGGCGAGCGGTCTTTGCAATGTGGTCTTTGAAGGTCAGCTGGTTATCAAAAGTTACACCAAGATTTCTGACCGAAGTTGACGGGGTGAGTAATTGTAGAAGAACCTAGCTGGATGGAAAAATCATGCTGTAGAGTTGGAGTGGCAGGGAAGACAAGAAGCTCAGTCTTTGCCAGGTTGAGCTGTAGGTGATGCTCTTTCATCCATGCCGAGATGTCCGCCAGGCAGCCTGAGATCCGTGCAGCTACCGTTGGATCATCTGGTTGAAATGAAAGATAGAGCTGTGTGTCATCAGCATAGCAATGGTAGGAGAAGCCATGTGCCTGTATGATGGGACCCAGTGATGTAGTGCAGTGGTTCTCAAACAGGGGTACGTGAGAAGTTGGAGGGGGTACGCAAACAAAATTCTGAGTTTTGGCATTCATTTAATTCTACCCCAACTTAAAGTAACATTAAAACCGAACATATATTTCTGACAATCAAAATGCCGCTTCTAATGTAAAAACAGGAAAAAGGGAGTGTCGTAAATGGTCAAATACATGATATCCAATCAGCTTACCTCATCTTTTGCGGTCAAAACTGACTGCATCCACACAGGCAGCATGCACGTGATGGGATGCCTGCTGAATATGCTGCTTTAGCAAATCACGCTGCTGTCTTTAAAGTAGATCTTCACTTAAAGCATGAAGAGCAAATATTGATATGGACTGAGATCGATGTAAAACTCTCTTCGATACAGACACACTCTGTGCGTGTTGTTGTTTTCATGTTTAAGATACGAGCAAGAATGCAAATTTCCCTGAATATCCAAACGATGGCAAATGTGCCATTCATTTTTACAACTGTTCAACAAAAAAAGATAATATTAAGTGAACATTTTACATTTTAAATGTAGCCTACATTTTAAACAGAATATTATCATGTTTGTTCTATTTTGCAGCGAAATAATAGTTCCTACGAAATCCGTATCATCTGGTGTGCGTCTCCAAGCAACATGCCTGTGGCATTAAGACAGTGACTTGCCGCCACCTACTGGTGGTTTTATTTTTAAATCTACAAGTATCACTTCGATTTGCCATAATTTATTGCTTTATTATATTAATAATACACTTAATAGAATGTTAAGAATATGACATAAAACATGACATACAATTAATAAGGATAGAAAATATTTTCCTCTATAAAGGTAAAAAATGCACCTGTAAATCAATTTAAGGGGGCAAATATTGTCCTTTAATATAATAGGTGTGACTGCGGTCTAAGTGGAAGAGAGGGGGTACACAGAAGAATGTTAAATGCCCCGGGGGTACACCGCTGTAAAAAGTTTGAGAACCACGGATGTAGTGCATATGGAGAAGAGGAGCGGTCCTATAACCGATCCCTGAGGAACCCCAGTGACCAGTTGATGTGCTTTGGATACCTCCCCTCCCCAAGACACCCTGAAAGACCTACCAGTGAGATAAGATTGACACCAGTGAAGTGGAATCCCTGTGATGCCCAGTGATGAGAGGATCTGATGATTCACAGTGTCAAACGTATTTAATGAACTAATGGAACTCGTCCTATTAAAAGGTTTGGATTTTTCAAGCCGTTTTCTGTAGAGTTCCAGCAAGTTTGAAGACTTCAAACAGGAAGCAGAGCTGAACCTTTCCAAGGCTTATGTTTAATCAAGCACACTCTTTTAATTAAGTAAACGCCAAAGCTTTTGCATTTACATTGTATTTGTACAACTGTTTCATCAGTGCTTTAAATTTTTTTTTAATGTCATGCTTGCTGGTGTCTACGTGACAAAACTGGTCTGTTAGTTCAGTTGTTATGCACTGATGTTTTCCTGAAGACACTGATCATGTTCCCTTTGGTGTGTGTGTGTGTGTGTCTGTCTGTCTGCGCAGGAGGGTCGTGATAAGCGTTTCCTCATTCAGAAGTTGTGTCAGGCCCAGCAGGCTGTGAATGCTCGTTCTCCGGAGCGCAGGCCTCCGCGCGGCTTTCGTGGAAACCGTTACGACGCTGGACTGTATTTAGTGGAGCCGTCGGTGGAGCTGGAGACGCAGGCGTGATGCCGCTGGAACAAACTCTCTGAAGAGCCTCGTCCGCTCCTCTCATCTGTCACCACGGGAGTGTGTTTCCATGTACTTCTGTTGCGCGTTTAAAGCTGCTCTTAAACACACTAAACACTGTCACTCAACACTAACTAGCCTTACACTTCTCCCTGTTTACAAAATCTGCTGTCTAGTGTCTTGTCTTTGACTTTTGTTCTGTTTTTAAAAATATACAAACTTTTGAAATTATCAGTTTGTTCTGAGTGAACTGCTTTACTGTTTGTGCAATAAACATAAATATGAGATACAGAAAAATAAGACTTCCATCTGACTCGCATCTAAAACAGTAACATCTAGAGATGCCGTTTATACTGAGAATTCAGCTGTTTGAACTCAAATGCAACTATTGTTGGCCAGAGATGGGCATAAATACATGAAAATGTATTTACAATAAAAATACTGTCTGGAAAAATATATTTAACTACAAATACAGTATTTTGTATTTTGAAAATACACAAAATAGATGTGAAATTGGCCATCCAGTGCAGGTATCCCTATAGGCTGAAATCTATCTGGACCTGTTCTGGAGAAAGAAAAAACAAACACACACACATTTCGATGTGTACAACTGCTTAGAAACTTGTGTTTTCATTTTACATACCTCTTCCCTTCCCTGTAGCAAATACAGAACTACCAAAAAAATGTTACGTTTATTTTGTTGCATATAAACTTTCTGATTTGAATAAACTTTATCTAAAATGTACATTTTAAATTTAGAATCATTTAGATTGCATTTAAGATTTCTTGTGAACCATTCATCAGTGTCTTCACAAATTAAATAGTTGATGACAGACAGTGATTAACCTCATTCTTTTGTCTCTACATGAACATACATTTGCATGGATGGGTGAACACAATCACCTGATTTTGTAAATGTGACAAATTTTTCATTAAGCACCAAGTTTGCACTTATGCTTGCATTTACAAAATGAGCTTGCGATATCAGAAATAATGAATAAAGTAATGGTCCATGTTAATACCATAGACTGTATGGTTAATACAAACATGAATTAAAAGAAAATGTTTAATGAATGAAAAAAAACAAGCATTACTTAATTTAGTGTTATACATATGTTATCATATTCATATGGTTTGTTCTAATGTCACAAATCATAATCTCAAGTTTACTGCATTTTACACATGCTTTGTATTCTTTTGTGTGGGTTTAAAAAGTGTACTCCAAAACATTTCCACACCTGTCCTCTCACCGCTGCTCTCTGGTGGTTTGGAGAGCAGTCAGTGCTGCCGACTTAGCAATTTTGTTGCTAAATTTAGCAACTTTTCACACTAGCCTAGCAACTTTTTCTTCCAAAAGCACCTTCTAAAATGTTAGAATTTATTTGGCAACTATTGATAGGTCATTTAAACGATAAAAGGCACACATTTTCCATCTAAATTACACAAGAGGAAACCAAAGATGTCTAGTGGTACACACATCACATCAATTAAGTTAGCTGCTATTTGCAATCGTTCAATTTAATAATAATTGAATAATTGTTATTTTATGATACACCTTGTTAGTAATAGCTTGTATCTGCGACTGTTGATAAGTTAGAACACTGTAAGAAAAATATTTAGAAAAATTTAATTTTCCAGGACATTATCCATTATTCGTTGGAACCATGTAACCCGAAAACACAAAATACAATGCCTAATTTAAAATGCAGGTAAGCAACCTGTGAAAAATCAATACGGAAAATTCGTTCACGTTAACATTTGAATTAGTAGTTTTACTAGTTTACTAGCTAATAAAAAAAACTTAAATTGTAATTGTTCAAAAATGTGTAAGTCTTCAATAATTCAATGTTGTATTTAAAAATACAGTTATATTTTAATATTATATTACCTTATATTATTTTACGAACAAATCTAAATGAACATATATAAGATGTTTTTTTTGCTGAGACTTGATGTAGTGACACAATTTTGCGTCATAATTACACAATGATGTCATCGTGACCTTCCTTTAGCAACTTCCCCAGAAATGAGAGCAGTTACTCAGAGTCGCCCCCTGTCGCTTCCGCGCGCATCGAGTATAAAAGCCTCGTCCGTTCAGGCTTCAGCTGCACAAAACGCTTCCACTGCGACCCGTGTGTCGAGATTGAGCTCTCTGCAGAGCAAAAGTGCCGTTTCTGACGTTGTGGGTGTTTTCAAACTGATGGGTGTTTCTAAATGATGCAATGCAAATGAGCCCCCTTACCTAACCCCGCCCCTAAACCTGCCGTCACTATGATGTGAGCCAATCAGGTAAGCAGGTCGAAAACGCCCCGATCTGGTAACCCGTTACTGTCCCGCACAGACCTATAGGGGTTCTGCGCAACAGACTTCCGTATTCTGTTCAGCGGGTCTCGTCGCTTCCGGTTCAAGCGTTTAGCGTATGCTTCGTTAAATATGAAGCAGTTTTACTCAACACATGCCTTCAAAGTAGATAGCAATGATCATAACCAATGTTCATCACATGTGCGGACTGATATCTAAACATTTTCACATTTAGATATAAAAATTTAATAAAACGTCAACAATAAAAACGGCTAGCTAGTTTAACTGATTATCTTAAAAGTCCATAGATATCGCTATTATTTAATACGGCTGTTAACACGTTCTCCGACAAGCGGAAGCAGCGAGACCTGTTTTCCGGGTTTGGTCAGGTGACGTTCGACATATACACTATTATTGTTTAAGTCAGAAGTCTAGGCCTACTTGTCGTTCCACTCTGCACCAAGCACATCACTTTCTATTGCTCATTCATTCATGCTCCTTTTTCCACTCCATTATTCCAATAATTCCTGCCCACTAAAAGCTGCACGGATATATTCGCTTACCCCGACAGACCTATCTATGTAAACGATTTAGAAAAAGTTCAGTCAATTCACTCTTTATATCATTGCCATAATATGTATTGTCACATCACCCAGCCCTAACATGCAGCGATGCTTTAAACACATTTGACAAGCTAGTCAAATAAAACAACCGATTAACTATCAAAACTGATTGGCGAACGCTATTCAGAGCTCTTTTCTTCTTTCATGTTAACTGAAGTTAATCTGAATGATGCACTATTTTAAAGGGTTAGTTCACCCGAAAATAAAAATTCTGTCAATAATTACTCGTCCTCATGTCGTTTCAAATCCGTAAGACCTTCGTTCATCTTCCAAACACAAATTAAGATATTTTTGATGAAATCTGAGAGCTGTCTGACCCTCCCAAAGACAGCAAGGCAACTGAAATGTTCCCAAGTCCAGAAACGTAGCAAGGAGATCAGTAAAATAATCCATGTGACATCAGGGTTCATCCGCAATTATACGAAGCATAATTTATTTTGGCGGGCCGCTGTCTGATGTTCAAGGCTGTTATTTTGACGGGCCGCTGTCTGATGTTCAAGGCTTTTATTTTGACGGGCCGCTGTCTGATGTTCAAGGCTGTTATTTTGACGGGCCGCTGTCTGATGTTCAAGGCTGTTATTTTGACGGGCCGCTGTCTGATGTTCAAGGCTGTTATTTTGACGGGCCGCTGTCTGATGTTCAAGGCTGTTATTTTGACGGGCCGCTGTCTGATGTTCAAGGCTGTTATTTTGACGGGCCGCTGTCTGATGTTCAAGGCTGTTATTTTGACGGGCCGCTGTCTGATGTTCAAGGCTGTTATTTTG